ATGATGCATGAACTAAATGACCCTATTAAGTGTCGCAGTATCAGACATCAATTTATGAACCAATCTTCCAGGTGTATTAGCTTCTTCATCAAAATATGCTGCACCATGTCGTAGTATCTTCCGAAACATTTTATTTCGTAAATAACCACAAAAACCATGACCATATAATGCAATAAATAAACGCTGCAACGGTTGCATAATTAGCTTTTAATGTTAGTATTCAACAACTTAAAGATTTTAGCAAAAAAAAAAAAATTAAATCATAGTAGGAGGATAAAGTGCTATAGCTTTTAATTGATTAAAATTTGGAATTCGAATCAAAAATTCTTGGTTAAAATTTGTTAAAATTAAATTAATTTTAAAAATAACCCCAACAGCTTCGAACATTGTTTTAATAATAATTAGAGCTGTATAAACAGCTGCCGTGATAAATACTTGTTGGGCTGTTTCTTCATTTGGTGCTAATGCTATCTATAAATCAAAATCATTTAATTCATCGGATAACTTGAAATAGAATTGAATTGTGCAAAAATTGGAAAAATTGCTATTAGTAAAATTATTTAATAAAGAGTGAATTTTGAATTTTTGAAGGAAAAATTTTTAAGGAATTGAAAAAAAAAAGATGAACATCAAAAAAGTGAGAATAAAATAGACTAACCTCAAGTACTGATGAAAGTTCAAAACAAACAAGCAGAAAAAAAAATCCTCGCAAAATAGTCACCGGAATAGCCACACTCAGTTGTGTATAACCATCTTTGTAGCTCTTAATCAAATTCCAAATAGCATTAAAATTGGTCGTTTTTTCGGGGAACTTAAATATTTAATATTTGAAAATATTTAAATGTTATATCGTACTTTTTCCAAACTTTAAGCTTATTCACTAGACAGCACTGATAGTAGTTTTTGTTGAGGAAAAAAGATAATTTTTATGATTACAGTCACTTTTTTTTTCCGATAATTTACATTTATAGTGAAAGATTATTTTCAAAATTTAAATTTCAACAAATATTACGGGTACAGCCATCCCATCAAATCTCAGAAGTTTCTTTTCTTAAAAACCAATAATTTGAACTTTATTAATAAATCAGTTTGGTAAACTTTAATGCCATGATCGTATATTACCTATTATTTTTCCTACTTTTATTCTATAAGTAAAAATGATATAATAAGAAATGAATAAATTTACCGAAATATGATCATCGTAATCTTTATCATCCATTGCTACTTCCATGATATTTGTCTTAAACGGTGTATCCATTCGAGTGCGTTTTTTCGACATTACAGGTAAGGCTAATTTAGCACGATCAATACTGAGTACAGAATATGATTTACCAAGTCGTTTATGAGCGCCCAATGATGAACGAGCCCATGCTCGACGGTATGTTTCGGCATCCTAAAATATCATCCATCAGTGAATCGAACTTCTATATCATATATTTGAAATTGCTTATACTACATTTCAAATCAACAACAGATTGATTATTTGATTGGAACTTAAAATTTCAAAAATATTTACAAATATTATGCTTTCTGTAGCCAATTATTATTTGCATCTTACTATGAACGATGTAAATAATCTATGAAGGAAATCATAAATACTTACGATAAAATCTGATGGTGTCATGGAAAAATGAGCAGCTAAGGAAACTTTTGATCGTGCACGTGGATTTGCAGCTAACTTATCGACGGTCAAAGAATCAAACTTCTGATCGTTATACATTCGGTGAAATTTACCGTCTTTATTGTTGAGCAATTCTTCTGGACTTCCTTCCTCTACAATTTGTCCACTTTCTAGAACGATTATACGATCTGCATTTCGAACAGTACTCAATCTGGAATATAACTTAGCTTTATTCCAAAAAATTAAAATGCTAAAAATATTAAAAAAAATGTGGATACTGTAATATGAATCGAATATATGAGATTATCTCTATTAGAATGACAAACTATAAAAATTTCACCATTCAAATAACTTTAAAGTCATATGTAAATCAAAAAATCATTCAGAATTTCCTACCCAAAAAAAAGAATAGGAAAAATTTTAGAATAAAGATAAAATGAGTAAAAGCGAAGAATTTGATTAGACTGTTACGGTAGGAAGCATACTACCGTACCGGATAACCGAAGAAAGATTGATACAGATAATAAGCGACTCATAGACATAAATGTGTACTTGATCATGTTACGGTGATTACAGTAATTCAATTGCGAGTAATTTGCGTTTCAATTCACTTACAAACATTTCCGACTTCCAGAAATAGCTATTAAAATTTAAGCATTTAAAATTCATCTCCAACTAGTATTACCTGTTTTCTGATCTGTTTTTGAAGTGTCATCAAAACAAACTGTCTCGCTTAACTCTTTAATCATATGATTTGGAAATTCATGAAATTCAGCAAAATGAAAGATAAATTATAGAAGTTTAACACCGTCATTGTTATTCTCCTCCTTTCTCTTTACTAAATTCTATATGTTTTAAATACAAGCACATAACAGGAATTACAGATATTTCGTAAACTTAAAATTTAACTGAATTTTGATGCAAAAGTAATAAAACATTGACATGGACTAATCATTTTGCACAGAGGTGATAAGATTGTATTCATAATCATAAAACCTTAACAGCTGCTTCTTTTTCTTTTGAAATTTCGAATATGCGCATTATTTATCATTCAGTACCCCGTTGTACATTAGAATCATTATATCAATCTTAACAAATTATTAATCAATTACCTGATTAAATAAAAGCAGTAAGGGGAAGGTGGAACTTTTCTTTTCAATCATGTTTTCTAGTAATATGAATTCTTTAAATTACCTACGTCTAAGGTCAACATATTTAAACTCATTGATAGCGCTTTAGGAATACGGCAGCATTTTTTCATACCGGAAATAGATCACTGAACAATCAAATTAAAATGAATTTATACCTCAAATTATTTTCATCCCATTTTTTTTTGCTTAGGAAAGCCTTAAATCACAAAATCAAATATGATTTCGAACAGTAGAAAATTTAATTGATCACAACAAATTATTTCAACTAGCTAAAACTGCTACACTTTTACCTCAGAATCGGTAAATTTCATATAAATGAAATAGTAAAATAAATTTTTCATATAACTATAAAATATATTATTGTCTTTCGATCAGTTGACATAAAATATTCGCTCATTTCAGCTAAATGATATTTTTTTAAAATTCTTTTTAATACATTCAACTCTTTTCAATACATTCAATTACCGATGGGCTATTGTAATGGTCGTAACACCTTGACTGGCTGCATCGATAGCTCTTTGCACCTCAACTTCATGCTTTGTGTCAAGCGCTGATGTCGCTTCGTCAAATATCATTACGGATGGATCACGGATTACTGCACGTGCGATAGCTACACGTTGCTTCTGACCGCCGGATAATTGCAAGCCTCTTAAAATACGAAATAATTAAATAATTAAGATTACATTTAGCAAATTTGGTCTACTAGAAATTCAATTTTTAACTTGAACTTTCAAATAGTTTCGAAAAAAATGAAACAGTACGTTTGATTATTATTGATAAGGAATTTTTAAAACGTAATCAATAAAGACGTATGGAAAATTATATCCTGTAAATACAAAATTTAACGTTATGGATAGTACAACAGGTAAGATATTCATGGTTTTTTTTTTCTAATAAAAATCAAATGAATGGCAAGAACCTGTCACCAACACGAGTTTTCATGCCTTCAGGTAAAGCACAGATAAATTGCCAAGCTTCTGCTTTTCGAGCTGCTTCATTAATTTCTGCTTGTGTTGCATTTAGACGTCCATATCGAATATTATCGCTTATGGTACCTATAAAGGTAGAAATAGATAAAATAATATCGATATCATAACTTATCTCATTTAACTCTCCTAGAAAAGATTACTTTTCCAACCATTTTTAGCAGCAAAATTTTAGAAGCAAATATTTATTTATTACAAAACAGCGATTGACAATATTACTTATTAACATTATCAAATACAAACCATCAAATAATACTGGTTCCTGACTAACCAAACCAAGTTGAGCACGTAAATTGTCCGGATTGAGTTTTTTCAAATTAACACTGTCCAATGTAATCTGCAATTGTCACATTAATTAAGTTATATAATGAAAGAAAAGTGATGATATTTTTTTATTATACATTGCATATTCAAAAAATTTGATCATAATGTACATTCGAATAGTAGCAGACAGAATATGAGACATTTTTCAAAAATACCAACAGTTCCATTAGTTGGATCGTAAAATCGTAACATAAGCGCCGTTATTGTACTTTTACCAGATCCGCTTGGCCCAACAATTGCGACATGTTCACCTGTTGCTACAGTAAACGACACTCTTTTTAGTACCTGTAATTTTCAAATTTTCAATGCATTACTTTCAATACATTTTATGCATTAATCTAAAATAAATTAAAATGTTGAAATTAGCAAAAGGAAATTATATAAAAGTTAATACGCTAATTATTCGATTTCTTAAAATCAACAAATTTATTTTGAAATAATTAACCATTTTATACCTCAATATCCGGTCTACTTGGATATGCAAAACTGATATCCTTGAATTCAATAGCGCCATGTCCACGTGGTGCTAACATACTTTCACTATGTTTATTAATGTAACATTCAATATTTGGTGTTTCAATTAAAATTGCATTCATTTCATTAGCATTTTGTCGAGCGGTCGATGCACCAGTCATATGGAAACCGATGCTAATCGATGTAACACACATATATAGCATATTAATTGCCAGCTAAATAATCACATTATTAATATGCTCGTGAACATCTTAAATGTATCATATCCGAAAATTAATGATTTTGTAGAATTTATCATTCCAAAAAAAAAAAACGAATGATCTTGATGAATTGTTTTATAACAGTCTTGATAATTAATTAAGTGATTATTTGCTAATTTATCAACATACTGCAGCAAGACGACCTGGATTGGCATCATTAACACGCCACATTCCATAACATAACGCTGCGGTAAAAATGAATTCAGTTAATAGAACCTAAAAGAAAAAAAAAACCATTCAATATTTAAAAAATTCATTTAGCTGTCATATCAATGCTTATTTTTCACCTATCATTTCTAATAGTTTTGCAACAATTTATTGCATTTATATTTATCATATTGAATGAATGAAAGTTTATTTTGAAGCGTAAAATTCCCTCCTATGATATATTCACAAATTTCAATCATAATAGCACATCTGATCTTCAATCTATTTAAAAACACGAAAAAAAGATGGACGATCAAAATTTAAAAATGGAAACAACCAATTAAAAGAAAATTTATGAAATGTAAGGGAAATAATTTAATTAACTAATTGTTGACAGGATTTTTTTTATGTTTACATATTTTTTTTATTGTTTACATTTATAAAATTTCTACATTTACCTGTGCAAGTGCATCATAAATGGATGAAGCAGTGAGACGTTGTTCCGTCATTCGATTCAGTTCAATTGTTAACCGTTCATATCTAAATTACAAAAAAAAAAAAAAAAAAATTTAACATAGACTACTATGACTATAAAATGTTTAGATTTGGAAGCAAAAAAAAAAATATTGAATGAAATTTAGAAAATAGTATAATTTCATCGTACTTATTAACTGTTTGTTTTTGTGCAGCAAATGCAATAACAGTTCGTATGCACGAGAATGTCTCTTGCACTAAATTCGTCATTTTAGCCAATAATTTTTGTTCCTCATCACGTGTTTTACAAAACCACTAAAATGACATTTTAAGAGAAAGGAAAGAAGAATGATGTTGGCATTCATTTTACAGGAATTAATCTAAGATAGATTGAATTTCAATTAAATCTTTTATTTATAGCATTTTTTGCCTCAGTTTTAACATAAGAGTTTGGCAAGAGTTAGGCAATTGCTTTTATAGCAATAAAATTAAAAAATTTCGATTAACAATGAAATTAATTCATTATAATATAATTTCCGATATATATATATATAATATGATTTCTGATGTATATTTATAGTTATTAAGTATATTTCATAGGGCATAATTTGATAGCGAATATTTTTGCATTTGCAATTATTGCTCCATTAATTATATCAGCAAGTTAAAGTAAAAAGTAAACTTTGCTAAAAATAAGCCTTGTTCCAATAAGTAACGGTAGTGCAGCAAACATCACTAAGGTAACATCCCATTGAATGTAGAAACAAACTGATGAAGTGACTAATAAATATGCGCAAATGAAGATAACCATGGGAACATGATCAGCAATACCTTGATATATCGAATCTGCATGGCTAAAATTTCAAATAACAGCTACGTGGTATTTTTTTACGTGATATTTGGTATTTTTTTGGTATTTACGGTATTTGGTATTTGGTATTTACGTGGTATTTTTTTAGGCCTTTTTAAAATTAGAGGTATTTTTTTTTTCAAATAAAAATTTTGAAAAGCAAAAAATAGATAAAAGTAAACGCTAAATGAAAGTAACAAAAAACGTAAATTAAAGATGAAAGTGAACATTATCTAACGTTTTTTTTTTTTTGAAATAAAATAAAAGAATAAGAAATGTTTTGAAAAATCCACAGATTTTATTAAGAATTATATAATTAAATGATGAAATAGAAAATGACTCACTCATGCAACATAGAAGCTACTTGTCCGGAATGTCGTGATTCAAGCCATGCAACATCCATGTGTAATAATTTCCGGATGTAAGCTTTTTTAACTCGAAAAACTTGCCTGATACCAGAAACTTCCCATGCTAAGCGCTACAAAATAATCAAATTTAAATTAAGTTAACTAATGAAATAATTTCAAATGATTGATAGGAAGCAAGAAGAGAGATGAAAATTCAGCATTTGAGCATAACACAATCAAGAAAAACTACTATTATCAGTACTGATGAAAGTGAGATACTTGAAAGTGATAAATAATGTGATAAAATTGTGACGAAATAGTCACATCAAATGGTACTATTTGTAATAATTATTAAATGAAATTAAATCTAATAACTGCATTTCAGATTAGCAGGATACAAATGATGCTTCATACAGTTGATATTATTAATCAGGATATCTTAAGAAGTGATAAGGGATGTACCTGAAAAAAAGCAGCAATAAATGTAGCCACCGACAATGATAACATCATAACAAATGCTGGCGTGGCGGAATTTTCAAAATGCTTATCTATTTGTGATTGTCGTATCGAATTAAAATCGGTAGAGTTAAACGAATCGAAGCTATTATTATTGCTTAAGCCAAATCCAATTTTGCTCGAATCAAATGATTCAAAATCTTTTACTTTCTCCATCTTATACTGCTAAAATTGATTAACAACTAATTTATTATTAGAGATTTTTTATTTAATTATAATTTATTAGATTTCAATATCATTAAGATGCATTCAAGTAACCGGTTTTGTCGTGTAACTTGAGTAATTTGATGTCGTGTGGTATCTCAAGAAGAGAGATCGAAAAACATCTTTTTTTTCAATATTTTACATTTCTTAAAAAAATCACATTAAAATTTTCGTTTCAAAATTAAATTTATTAAATCACATCAAATTTCGCTTCAAATATTAAAAAGAGCTGATGATTTTCTATAATTAACTTGAAATTTTTTTAATTTCAAGGTCAAAATTTTGCATTTATTACTTTTTCCAAAATTCTTTAATCTTTCTCTCCTTTTTTCCCACAGCCAATGCCAAAATGAAGGATCGATGTGCGGAACTGTCAATTTAGATAAATCTGTGAAATTTGTGATAATTATCAAGCCGCTCACAAATATCAAAATTTTTTTATTTCAAATGCTCGAACTTGAATTTTCACATCGATTTCAGTGCGTGCCTTAAATTGACACGTAACATAACCCTCTGGAAAGTATCCTTTCACCGGCGATCAAAAATGATTAATGATGAAATTGATAAATGTGATAGGGTGGTTATTACTTGGTTATTACATTACATATTGATGTATCACGCATGCTGCAAGTGTTAATTAACTTTTTGATGTAATGAAAGGAAAAAAAATTGCCCATCATATTTTAACAATTTTAGTGTTTAATTTCAATGAAAATTTATAAAATGGCCAGTAAGCATGCCGATCAGCACGCGGTAATTAAAACGATTAGTGCGCATATGTCATTGTGCACAAACCGTTAAAAATTCATTGTAGAAATGAATGAGACGGTAAAGTTAAAAGCTGTGCCTTTTCGTCTAATGAACAAAGAATGAAATTGCCATTTTAAATTGCGAAAAAGAATTTTAATGTCTTCATTTCATTCTACTTCAAATACCATTTCCGCACTATGAACGGCGGAAATTATGAGAGAATAGATATTGTGAGAAATTTAGTTCATGCTTATATTTTTTTTTCTTTTTAATTTCTTTTTTTAGTACTTTACAAAGAGCAGTGATTCAGTTTAGCAAAATTTTTTAAAAACAAAAAAGAAAAAGAAACAGAAGAAGAAGGATGAGGATGACATCAAAATCATTTACAATAATAACACTTCTTGAAGACAGAGGAGGGGCGTATTTTGAGCTTCTAACCTTATTTAATTTTAGAAACTTCAAAATTCGCTACTAAAAACTTATATTTTATAAATACGTTCAATTATTCGGTTTTTCATTTTACTAGCGAAATTATTTCACTACAAATGTATCAATTTGATGATATCATTAATATTTCATGATAATTAATGAATTCTCATATCATATATAACAGGTTATGAATAGAAAAAATTATGATTTTATAAAATTAATGTTACAAAATAAATGCAGAAATCACTTTCTATGTCAGGTCTTGACATTCATGAACTTTTCTCTTTTCTTACTATGAATCATAATTTGGTGTAAATTTGTGAAAGAACGTAATGAATCAGCAATGTAGATGAGGCTATTTGTACATCACTGATTACTTATGTAGTGCCATTGATATGATAAAAGATTTCACAACCAAATTCAAGGCCATTTCCGACTTTGTAAAAACATTGGCAAACTATGATTTAACTAATGCAAATGTCAAATTGTAGTGAAAAGAATAATTGCGGTATAGCGCAAAATCTTTAATTACTAAATTTGATAAATTTATTTTTTCA